AAATCAACCCCTTATATTTAATTAGTCTCTTTTGATCACAAAATTAATTCCAAACTAATTTTTCATCAATACTAATTAAATAATATGATTTCATATTAATATATTAGAACTTATAATATATTAATAAATCATAAATAACCTCTTCTCAATTGTCCATCCTTCAAATTGTTCCGGTGCCATGCAACCCAAATGGACCATGCTACTCTCGGGTCAAGTACATACCAATTATAGTTATGGGCTTAGACACTAAATCCAACAAATACGTGTTTAACCGTGATTGCTTTGAAAATAGTTGAAGTGTCTCACCCTAAAGTCAATTGTTTTTATCTTTTCCTCAATTCCAATCCGTAAACACCTTAAAATATCTAAGCATGGTAGTAAACACAAAGTGTTTACGCCCTAGGATGGTCCTACTCTTGAGTTTACGCCCCATGTGTGGTCCACCAAAGAGTTTTCGCCCAAACATCACATCCCTAAGGTAGTTTACACCCTAGCATGGATTTCCTAAGGTGTTTACGCCCCCTAATGTGCTTTCCCTTTTGAGTTTACGGCCAAGGGAGGTCCATTAAGGGGTGTTTACGCCCCTAAGGTGGGTTTTCATTGGGTTTTCGGCCAAGGGTGGCCCAAGTTAAAATGTTCACGGTTTTGGGTGATTTCCTTAAGTGTGTTCACATTTTTTAGCTAGTATGCACTCAAAGATGATGGTCTTAGTGGGATATTGTGCTAAAACTTCCAAACAAAGTGTTTAATGTGTGTTTTCTTGTTGACTAGCTAAGGGTGCATTCAATCATGGTTCCACAAAACTTGTTACACATATTTATATCCATATATGTTAGCTTAAGTCATTGTTCTTATGGCCTTCCATGTTCTAAGGTGGGTGGGAGACTAGACTTAATACTAATAGACAATCTTTTAATCCAAGATTCTTTTTCAAATTCATTTGTCTAGTTTTTGCCTTGATAAACTTGTTTACCTTCGAGAGGTTACCTTACGTGTGACTTCCAAAAGTATATACTTCCATATACATGCACTTATGCCCTTTTAGTTTTCCAAGGTTATCATTGTAATAGGGTTACAATTTAGACCTTGTTTGATCCAAATCCTTCGGGTTGTCACAATAAGCCATGCGAGGAATGTGTTTCAGTAACCGAAGTGACGGAACATAATCGCCTCACGACACCTTGCTCCTACTTAGTCTAGGTTATTAAGGGTAGACAAGACAACGACATAACTCTTAGACTATAGGGACTTTATGACATATCCTTTGGATATATCATTGCTAAACAACGATATGACTGGATATCGTGGTTGCTGCCAAGACTGCCCCTTCCCAAGAAACTTGGTTTCCCAGAAATACCTTCAAACAACATAAGTGGCGTTAAGATTGTCCGTCTCTTGGCCACTCTATTAACCGAAAATCATGTTTGATAGCAGCCTTGCCTTATATCAACTATGTTGCATATCCGCCAAGGTGCACGCTCAAGACAAAACCCATGATGACCAACAAAACTCGTAAGATACAAAAATGGTGCCCGTGCCACTACTGATATTCCTTCTGCATCAATCACAAAGCAAATGAAAAAAAGAGAATTATGTTAACTAACAGGCGATACTGCACCGCATCAAAAATATCCATTTTGTCCCCTAAAAGTGAGCCTTACCAACTTAGTACAAAAGGGGCAACAACCCTAGGTAAATTGATCACTCTCACTTAGACTCCACACCCTCATCCCATAACTAACTTGGTCGACAGAGCGTTCTCTGGTAGCTCCTCCTAGAACGGTGCTTTTTCTCTTGTATAGTGAACTCAGATCCCGACGTGTAGATAAACGGTCATACTTAGAATAACTCAGTCAAATCGGTCTCACTCAGGAATTTTGACATTTAAAAGAAGCTCGTAATTGTTATTGATGTTCATCTATTTTGTTATAAAATTTAATGAACTTGTGATATTTCTTATATATACTTTCAAAATTATTTTTTTATAATTTAAATTTACCAAATCTAAGTACTCACGGTTTAGACCGAGTACTCGCTACTTGCTAGTGGACCTACCGAGGAACATTTAGGGTTGTAACATTCGATATACCTAAATACACCAGAAATAACTTTCGGTAGAAGTTCTCATCAATTATCAGTTTAGGATTTTAATTATCATTTTATGATTTTAATTGTTGTTTTAAAATTTTAATTGTTATTTAAATATTTTAATTATCGTTTGTTTGTAGTGATTTGTTTTTTAATGAAATGTTAATTAAAATTAATTTTATTCGGTTTTAAATATTTAAGTGGTTTAACTAATTTAAAAAAAATAGTAGGAATTTATTCCGCATATTTAAGGATAGACAGAGAGAAAATGAAATAGTTAGGAAGTATGGACTCCCACAAGCCTTATACACATATGTTAGGTATTGGGACATGCCAACCATCACAATTTCCTCCATCTCACTACTATCTCCTTCCACACCATTGTTGGTGTACGTATAACTATCATGGTGAATAAGAATAGAGAGCTAATTAATTGGCCTCTTTCATGATATACACAACATGAGGCTACGATCGTGACTCCATGTCATCATCACAAGACTTCGATGACGGTGTACGTGGTTGTTCCCCTCATGGAGCTCATTACCACAAGACGACTTCGATGATGTTACATGGTTGTTCCCCTCATGCAGCGCATTACCACAAGACTTCTGTGCCAGTATACGGGATGGCTTTTTTTAAAACACAAACCAATTCAACATTTTTTTTATATGTAACACACCATATTTTAGGTATATAATGTATTCAAAGTTTTACTTGAATACATTATATTGTCACTTTTGGTTCAGTAGTTTTGGAATGGGAAAATGACTTGTAAGGGTAATGATCTTTTACCTGTGTTCAAATTATACCATTCATGTTTTTTTTAACAAAAAATACCATTAATATGTGTTTCGTGGACACATATTACCATTGGCAACCGGATACAATAGGTTATCCCGGTATTTTGTAATTAAAAATAAAATAACGAGTGATGTGGAAAATACGTGGCTATTACACCCACATCTCCCCTACTAAAGGATCTTAGGGCACGATTTCTTCTTCAAAACTGTTGCAGGATTTCTCCCAACCATGGCTTCCTCCTCGACGCACAACTCCAGCACCAGATCGAAGAAACCCAAGTCAAAATCGAAACTTGATTTTGCAAATCCTTGTGATTGTGGCTACCCTTCTCGTATTTGGACTTCAACGACCAAAGATAATCCTGGAAAAGAGTTTAGGGTTTGCCTTAATTCAACGGTATGTGGGGTTTAATCTATATGTAGTAAGGTTTTTTTCACTAATTTTCGTATTATTTGTTTTAGGATAACCCAGAAATTAAATGCAAATTCTGGGAATGGGTTAATGAAGAAGATACAGTCAACAACAAGAAAAGACATGAAGTGAGAGCACAATCCTGTGAAGTGAGGGCATAATCCTGTGAAGTGAGGATTGCCATTATGGACCATGATTTCAATATTTACAAAAAGAAGACAGATGAAGAATTTGATAAGATGAGTAGGAAAATTAGTAGTCTCAAAAGTTATGTAATTGTGTTGTTTATGTTGTTTGTAGTATCACTTTTAAGGGCATAAATGTCAAATTGTAAGTGGATGTTATGGTTGAATCATATGGTTGTTTTGCTGAATATGATTGAATCTTATGTTTGAATATGATTTACAGGAATAAATGTGAAAAATTATAGTTGGATGTTATGGTTGAATCTTATGTTGCTTGTTGAATTAACATGTACAAACATCCCTCACTTTTTTAATGTGCAGAATGGTCAAAAATAATGTGAAGGGCATAATGGTCAAAAAGAATGAATACTATGTAAAAGCAACATTGAACGATGTAGATTCTATTTAAAGGGTAATAACAAACAAAAGCAGAGTTTTTAATGTGCAGATTTACATCAAAAGACAAAAGCATAGTGTTTACCAAAAGACAAAGCATAGTGTTTTCTGCCCTAAACAAAATACATACTTAAAGGCCAATAACAAACAAAAGCACAGTTTTTAATGTGCAGATTTACATCAAAGGGAATCATTCCAGAGCAACAGGTTTAGTCACACTTAAACAACATCCATCATTGGTGATGACAGCCCTCTTCAATGCCATTTCGGTGATCCTCTCTGAATATTTCCTTTGCCTCTTCAATGGTTGTGCTACTTGTTCAACTTCAACAAGAGGTTGTGCAACTTGTTCCTCAACATCTTCAATCACAGGTTCAACTGCAACTTGTTCCTCAACTGCAACTTGTTCCTCAACATGTTCCACTTCCACAACAGGTTCAACAACATGTTCCATTTCAGGTTTAACAACTTTTTCCTGATCAGGTTCAACAACAGGTTCCATTTCTCCTTCTTCAGCCACCTTTTCAATCTCAGATTCATACTCATCTTCAACTTCAGCCATCTCTTCAATCTCAGATTCAGACTCATCTTCAACATCAGGAACATGTTTACCCTTCTTCTTTTTGGGTTTAGGGTCCTTCTTCTTTTTGGGTTTAGTGCCCTAAGATCCTTTAGTAGGGGAGATGTGGGTGTAATAGCCACGTATTTTCCACATCACTCGTTATTTTATTTTTAATTACAAAATTCCGGGATAACCTATTGTATCCGGTTGTCAATATACTGACCGCTAAGTACAAAGACACGAAACAGGTTTGAAATTTGAAGTACACCTAAATTCCAAAAGGGAAAATTACTTGTAAGGGTAATGATCTTTTACCGGTGTTCAAATTATACCATTCATGTTTTTTTTAACAAAAAATACCATTAATATGTGTTTGTACAATACAACATCATTACAACATTAGTAACAGTATTGATGCTATAAATAGCCAATAAGCCAGGATACGTGGCCACAATACGTAGTGAGATTTCACATGAAAACAGTTGGACACAGACTGCAAACATCATTCATTATGGAAAACAAATAAACAACAAAAACAGAAAAAAGCGGTGCAGCATCACCACATACAAACAATGACGACTGATCATCTGCAAAAAAAAAGCTGACTTTTTTAACTGACTACCATGTGAAAATGAAGCCATAGCTTTCAATTCACAAATCGGAACCCTAACCTAACACCTACCATGAACAGTTTAGCGGGTGGTTGAACTTTAACACCACCGCATTCTACCGGTTTCTGCCTCTCTCCTCCACCAAAAAAACAGAGGAAACTGAAAACCACTTCACAGTTCATAGCGACTCTATTCTAAACCAACCACACACAACTGAGAAAACAAAAGAGCCTCTCTAATACGAGCCCTTTTGTAGGCTTTCCATCTGTTCGACGAAATGTCTAAGTGAATTGTCCTCCGGTGAACGTCTGACCAAAAGACCATCCGGCGGGGACGGCGTTGTTGCAGATGACTGTGTGGCCATCGCTAGTAGTAACCTTGAAAGATAAAGCTTGCCCATCAAGATTCGAGTTGCTCTGCCAATTTTGACCCCAATTTCTCGACATGGGAACCCACCCTGTTCTTGAACCTTTGATCGCAACCGCTTTCACGTCACCTGCTCCTCCGACGTTCGTTATCAACACCAAATTGAAGTACGAATGTCCATTCACAGTGAACCTGATCCCTCCCTTCTTCACACAAGGTACCCTGTCAAAGTTCGCGACTTTTTAATTCCTTCATGATTTTTGCATGCAATTAGAGAACAAATTAACACTACATTACACGATTACACACCTCTTATAATGAACAGGAACAATTCCCGCTTTATATTGAGCAATTTGTTGGAAAATAGGCTGAGAGAGGTCGAAATGATGTAGCGGAGGGTTACACCATCCGCCGGCGTTGTTAGGTAAGGCGTTGTTCGGAGGACAGAAATTAGTCGCGGTGACGACGATAGATCCAGGTCGACACCATTTTTGTTCACCTGCACATTTGATTTCGAAACAAGCTCCACAACTCATTCCATTGTTGAATAGAGCTGTACTTAGTGCTGCTGTGTTTGTACCATACCCTTGGCTGTATAAGTTTCCATATCCACAAGCTCCACCTGCAAATTAACATCCCCAAAACCATATAGTTTAATCCATTTTCTTAAATCGGGAAATAAGTGTCGGATTTTAGGGTTATAAGGTTTTAGGTTTTACCCATTGTGCCAGAAGCATCGCCGCCTCCATAGAAGGTAGCATGAGCTTCAATCCAACCTCCATTGTTGCCATGAACGATAGAGACGATTGAGAGAATACTCACCACTAAAAGCGCAATTGGAGCCATGTTTTCTGTATAAATTAAAACATGGAAATATGAAATATGAAATAATGGATAAAAGTTAAGAGATTAAAAAGTTATACCTTTCGAGAAATACATGGAAGAGAACGAAGAGGATGGTGGTTATGAATGTGAAGAGTGATAGAGTGGGGTGAAATGTGAAGGGGGGTATGGGGGTATAAATAGATGCGTGATAGGGGTAATTAAGTAAAAGCATGATATAGGTTATTTTTAATATATTTTTTTGTTTTATTTTTGCGAACCTAAAGACAATTTAAAATGTCATTTTCTTCTGTACAGGTGTAGGAACATGAAAACGCCAGGTGGCAGTGGGGTCCATGCTCTTACGTGAAAGAAGGAATCCCTAAAATCCAAAAGCTCAACAAACTTTTGTTGCATCAGAATAGGTTTACGAAAAAGCACATTTTCTTCTGTACAGGTGTAGGAACAAACTTTTATTAAAGAATTCAGTTACTTGTATTTTTGTGTGAATCACATTGCCATTTGTGACCATGTACATTTCATGGCAAACAATGTAAAACATTCAATAAAATTAATAAAACACAAAATCATATTATTTTGATGGAAAATCTGAAAAAAGTCGTAATATTTACCCTAATTTACGAAAAAATCTTAAACAAAAATTTATTACGAAAAAATATGAATTATCGATAAAAATGACGATTTGGCCAATTTTTTCCGATTTACCGGTTTCATTACTTACATGGTTTCATTAAAGTTATATTATTTTATTATAATTTACGAATAAGTTTCAAACTAAAATTTAGTGATAATTTGATCATTTTGTCCATATAATATATATTTTACCGTTTTCATTGTTAGACTGGACGTTTAGTCTTTAAATAAGCTAATGAAATAGATAATTTGGGTTATATAATGTTATTTTACCATAAAACTTAATATCCTGCTGTACTGTATATTTTTTGGAATATAAAATGCATCCAACGAAGATTACAATAATTACATAAACTAGCAACAACTTCGTTATTTTTTAAGTTTATGATAAATTTCAAATTGTCTATCTAGTCTTATGTAACCTAGTATATCTATCTCATCAGACAACATCTCATTTCCCGCCTTTGTTTCCCGGAATCACACATTTTACTGGTTTTATTACTGACATTGATACATAGTCATAAATAAGTCGATAAAATGAGTATCAAATTTTACGGTAAGCGTAAGATTATATAATCCATTCTATCCATCCTATCAAATCATTTAATGATTATGCATGTCATAAATAAAACCGGTAAAATATATTTAAATGAAGGATTTTGTCAAATTATCACTAAATTTTTTGTTTTATTAATTTTATTAAATGTTTTACAATGTTTGCCATGAAATGTACATGGTGGCAAATGGCAATGTGACTTAAGAAAAAAAAATAATAATAATAGTGGGATTAACATTATATAATCCATTCTATATATACTTTTATTTGATTTATTTTTATTGTTATTTATTTATTTTTTTGCAACTAAAGATGGTATTCATAGTATAAAAAAAAGTTGTCTAAAGTTTAAAGATGGGTAGCGCACTTAAAAGCCAACAATATTTATGAAAAAATAAATAACTAAATAAACTCTTCAAAATTGGTTAAATTGCAAACTAAATTATAAGTTTGCAAATTATATTCACTTTCGAGATTGTTTTAATAATAATAATAATAATAATAAATAGGTTCAAAAATAGGGGTGAACATATTAACCGAAAAACCAAACTATAACCAAATTAACCGATATAACCGAATCATTTTAACTGAACCATTAGTAAAAGATATGTTCGGTTTCTAATTTTTATTAACTGAATATATATGGTTCGGTTATGGTTTTAATCTAAAACCGAACCACTATAAACTGAACCGAATCAATAATATTTATAAATATTTTTAATATAATATAATATTAAATATATGGTACGTAATTATATTAGGAATTGAAAATTTAAAGGGAATTATTTGGAACTAGATAAGATATTTAATTTTCTATCAATACAATTACATATATGCAATCATTCACTTTTTATAACAATGGACTTATGTTTTTTAATTTTTATAGAAAAATATTTTTATTTTTATGTCATCTTTGACCATTATGGTTAACCGATATAAACCACTAACCATAACTCTTAACCGACTAAAATCGTTAACCAAAACCAATATTCACCGCTACCCAATGATTATCGAAATACATTAACCAATTGTAATGGTTATGGTTCGGTTTTGACCAATAACCGAACCAAACCGTCCCATACATACCCTATAACAAAGTTACTTCAAAAATTCTAAAAACTTCATATTTGTTCTTTCTACGTCTGGCTTATGTTTCGAACTAAGGTCGCGACAAGTTTCAAACTTGTTTTTTGTGAATATCCATTGAAATAATATAAAGTTATATTTTTTATGTTGAAATGACGATATAAAAACTAAAATTGGGAAGAAGAAGAAATAATGACTTTGTAGTAAGTAGTCATTTTGACATTTTCTTACTATTTATAAAAAATAGTCATTTTGTGAATATCCTTGCAAACTACTATTACACACGTTTCTCTGTATCTTGTTTAGTAATCTTAGTGGGCGCCATTTTAACACTAGCTAGAATTTAATTGACATGTTGAAATAACATTTTGCATAAATTTTGAATGTCGATGATTTTTGACTCATCATATGCATTCATTGCATGTTTAGTAACTAGCGTCCAAGACTCTGATCATTCAATGTTATTTCCCCCGACTACAATTACGACCAAATCTTTCACACTTCAAAAAGATCAGGAAACTACGATCGAGTAATGAATTAATCTGTTATATAGTCTTGTTTAAATAATTAAGATTTGATAGCTTTTTTTTAAGTATGACGGAATTAGCAGCTTTGCTTTCTAATTTAAAGGTAAACAATGGGATGATAGTATAGTGGTGGGTTAGTCGATAGCAACATTGGAAGTAACAATCGAAGGATAGGGTAATGTGTAAGCAAGTTTCCTAGGGAAAACAAAAAACGACTAAATTTGACTTTGAAAAGTCAATTTCAAATTGCGAATTCACATGGGTTGAAGAACTATTTCGAAAGATGTGATTATTTTTCAAATCGAGACTATGTGCTTCTGTGACGGTAGCCCATAGATCGTTTTCGTTTTTCTTTGCTAAATCTGTTTTGTTTGGGTTTACAACTTTTGTTGACCGGTATGCTGTCAAATTTTTTTTTGGCATTCTCTAAAACAAAGTTGGATAATTGAAGAGTTATTCATTAAAAATGATGATTTACTACTTCATTTTCATTCCCCATACTCACATTTTTAAATAAACAATGACCATCAATCCCGTGCAATATCTAATAACCCTATTCCACTTCAACCGTAAGAAAAAAGAACTGTGAACAGATCGCAAAAATTTTGTAATTTGCATTTGTTGATAGGCATGGTATTTTGCCAAGAATGTTAGTAAGGTAGCATAGTGTATCGGGTTTAGAAGGCATGGTAAACTCAGAGGAGAATCAATCATCAGTTATCAAGATGGGCAGGTGTGGATTAGTGTTAGGGTGCAGCATGAGTGTTTTCGTGAGGGATTTGTTCAACAATTTATGGGATTATTGGATTTTTTTCTGTTTAGCTCTTTTCAATCGATTGGTCATTGTGTTCTTCGTCAACAACTGTGATCGTTCGAAGGTTTTTAGCAGTAATTGTTGTAGGTGCAGCTCGTGTGTCAACCTTTCGTCAAACTCTATCAGTTGTGTATATATGTTTCCGTGTGAGTGCATCCTTGATTGTTTGGTAGCAGAATTGTGGCTTCTAGTAGACTCATGTTTGACAATTGTCTTGGGATACTAGAAGTTTAATGTCGGAGCGACGTTATCTGATTCTTCATGTGTGATTTTGTGTCTACATAGGTTTCAACTTTGGGATGTCACGACAACGGGGATGGTATCTGGCTCGATCCGACCATGGTTCAGACAACATTTTGGGTGATTTTGGAATTTTCCTCCGCATTTGAAAGTTTCGTCGAGTTATTTGGGCATTATTGGAGATATGTTCAGTTTTGTTTAAGGTTTGAGATTTTGTTTCGGTTGTTTAGGAGAATGTTTCTGTTAGCGGTTGAGGTCTGTCAATTAGTTGGATCTTATGACACTTCACCCTTTGGGTAAGGTTGTAATGAAGAAAGAATGCAGTAGATCTGGGGTGCGTTGTGTGTTCTACTTGGGGGTGTGTAATCTTTGTAGTTCTTCAAATATTTTGTCAGGGTTGCATGTGGATTGAATAAGATAATCTGAAAACTCTTGGTCCGTCTTTATGGCATGGTTCTAGTCTGATATATTGCTTTCGAGTAGGAACATGCGTTCAACAGACTATCTTATTTTCTAGCCCCGTGCAACCATGTTATCGTCGGGTGTTACGTCGGTAGCAGCCTAGACTATCGAAGGGGTTGTGTGTTTTAGAATTGTATGGCTCACGTTGTATTGGTAGGTGCTAGGAGGGACATTGACTGGTTTCTTGCTGGCCGGTGGGATGATGGCTGTAAGCCTATAGGCCCACTAAGGTGATGGTCGTGAGTCTTCATGCCCGTGGTTGGATGATGGCAAGAGCGGTGTAGTACCGTGAGCTTCTCATTCTGATGATTAGATGGTGTCACGACGTATCGTGGACTAGTGTGGATATGAATTATGTGGATGAGACCTTTGGGTCTTCGTTCGTTAGTCTTTTGGCATAGTTGAGTTTTTGAGTTGTATGTAAATACTACTAGTGGCTCAGTAGCCAACATGTTTGGGTAGGGTATTAGTAGGATGTTGACTTGCTGGAAAAGTCATGGTTGTGTATCAGTAGTTACTTATTGATTTTCTTCTTAGAGGATCCATGTTTGTTTATTGAGACTCGTCTCGTAAGAGTTAGATTACCAGTGATGGAGTTCGTAGTGGGTCTCTTGGACGATCTATCACGTAGTTGTGCCCCTGATCTGGGATGAAGTCTGGACGCAACGGGGGATTTTAGTTCGTCCACTGTTATGCTTGTGGGAGAGGTGGGTTAGTGATGATTTGTCGAGAAGTCAAGCGTGCATCTAAGGTCTATTGGTCATGAATTTCCAGATTGGAGGATGGGTTGATCATTAAGGTCAGAATGTTTCTAGTGCTCGTATTAGCATGG